TGTGACAGAGTGTTGGACTAGATGGGCCATTGGCCTGATCCAACATTGGCTTCTCTTATGTGCTTATGTTTTTAAGGAGGGCAGCCTTAAGGAGGTCCTACAAGATTTGTTGTGTCACCTTGCTGGGAATTGTTCTTGCTCTTACAGATGATGGCTCCCTCTGAGGATGATATGATTATGGTCTCCTCCGACACAGAGCAGTCTCCATTGAGCTCCGGACGGAGATATTTCTGTGGGGACACTCAGCTGGAGGACTGGCAGGATTCCAATTTACCAGGTATGTATTTGTTGTATTTATGGGGAATGACCGTGTAGCTGAAGATTAGAGCCTGTGGTTTACAGGAAGAAGGTTCTAAATTCAATACTCAGCGTTGACACCTAAATGGACCTCAGAAGCTGGGAAAGATCCCTCTCTGCACAAGATACTGTAGGTCAGGGCAGATGGTACTAAACTAGATGGACCAAGTATACCCAGTATAGTTTATTAGGATGGGGCAATCACTCAAAGGAAGAGCCCCTGATTTGTTCGTAGAAGGTCCCAAGTTCCATCCCTGGCATCTTCTAAAGATCTCCAGGAGTTGCCCTTCTCTACCAGAAAGGCGTTCCCTTTACTCTGCCCAGGTCAGAGTGAAGAGTAGCAAGGGCTGCGGTCACACGGAGCATTAGCCACGCTACAGAGACGGAAGATAGGCGGATTTTCCGGGCGCAATCTCACCGCCACATCTGGGAAGCGTAGAGCTCCCGTGGCTCACCCGAGGCTTCACTCTGAAGATGCGCAGTAAAAAACTAGTACCTCCGAGGTACTAGTTTCCGGAAACCGCGGGGCAAGGGCAGGCGTCTGATCACGTTTCCGGTGGTAGCTCGTGGCATCCTGCGCCCACCCATGTCCCGTCGCGAAAAGGTTTTTTTCCCAAGTCTCCACGGGATGCGCACAAGCACCCAACGGCGCATGCGCACACTTTGGTTAAAAAAACCCACAACCCCCGCCGCAACCCCTGCCGTGCCGCTTCTTTGCCCGCCGCAGGATTTACGTATGATCGGCACCTCCCCCCGAACCACGGGACGTCGGGGGGATGTTTGATCCAGCGGCCATGCGGTAGTTCGCTCCGGGGCAAACAGCCACGCCTCCCCCCCGCGATATCCGGCCCGTGTGACCGGGGCCAAGAGAGGTGGGTTGAGGGCCTGATTCAGTTATCAGGCAGCTTTGTATGTATTTAAAGGGTTTTTAGACTGCTTTGGCTTGTAGCACAATGCCCGTTCCCAAATCATAGCGATCCGCCTAGGGGGAGGTGGTGCTGTGTTGGCCCCCCCGGGCTCACTGAGTGGTCCGTTTCCCGCTCCCTGCAGCAGGAGCTACAATGGCCTTGGAGACATAAAGGCTGTAAATAGCTCACCACCACCACCACCCGTTCACCCAGTTGGAAACCACCATGTGTCCTCCTCAGCTGGTTCCCTTCTTTGGTGGTGGAAAATGTTGTCAAGTCACCTCTGTCTTGCGGCGGCCTCAGAGGGTTTCCAAGGCATGAAGTGAAGGTGGTTTGCCATAGCTTACCTCTGTGGAGCAACCCTGGACTTCACTGGTGACCTCCCATCGAGTACTAACCAAGGCTGACCCTGTTTAGCTTCCGAGATCTGACGGAGATCAGGCCCGTAGTTATGGTGGGGCTTTTAGGGGCTCTGCCCCCCCTTTCTTAAAGGCACAGCCCCACAAGAATTTCTCCCGTAAATGCTTTTCCCCAATCATTTTAAACCATCGTTTTAAAAGCCGTGCGTTCCTTTAAGCAGAGTGGGGCGCTGTAGTTGACGAATTCCCACACTGAGCAAGGGGGTTGGAGTAGGTGACCTCTAGGATCCCTTCTAACTCTGTGTCAAGAAACTGGTCTCCTTTAAGAGAGTTTTTCCTGCCTCCGTGTTAGCTTTCTTGACTATAGAAGTCATCACCCTCACCTGCCGGCTTGTTACCAGGATTGTTACTGAGGCTGACAGAAGAGATTAACTTGCGGCATCTGAGAACTGTCATCTCAAGTGGTTGGCAGCTTGCAGCGGGCTAAATGGCTTTCTTTCTGCACTGAGCCCTTTCTTTTGGATAAGTGGCTTTTCTGTCTGCACTAAGAGCAGCTTTCTATTGGCTAAGTGGCTTTTCTGTCTGCACGGAGGACTTCAGCCCCACCAGAAAAAAAATTGCCCCACAAGCCACAAGATCCTGGCTTCAGGCCTGGACAAGATCAGGCTGGCCTGGGCCCTCCAAGTCAGGGCTCTAATCCCACTACGGATGCTAGCTTCCTGTCCCTCCTCTGCTCTAATCTGGCTGCTTACATTTTGCCTTGTACCTCAGCATCCTGACTTTGCAGGCCCCCTCTCATCTTCTGACTGGGATATAAGATCTGAATTCCTACTTGTATCTGACGAAGGGAGCTTCTGACTCCCAAAAGCTCATATCCTGGAACTCTTGTTCAAAACATAACCGTCCCACCTCTCTGACACAGAACATGAGTTGGGTTACAACTTAAAAAGAGAAGACAGATTTTAAATTCCCGAGCCAGAATTAAAAACAGCCTAAAAACACAGATGGTAATGCCGATCTAATTACATTTTTTAAGAGTCCTTTATTGGCGGTGGTGCTGAAAAGCCCTCAAAAGTTTGGAGTCTGAGGAAAGCTGTCCCACAATACTAGTGCCACCACAGAAAAAGCCCGGCCTGGGCAGCTGAAGTCAAAACTTGCGGGCAAGTTGGAACCAAAGACGACCAAGAAGCTGTATGGCACCTGGGAGGATTTGAACTTGGGTTCCCCAGGGCCTAGTCTGAGATTCTAAGCCCTGTGCCACAACTATTCCGACTATTCCAATATTAAGAACCAGTTTGGTGTAGTGGTTAAGGTCGTGGACTCTAATGCAGCTGCTGTGTGACTTTGGGTCAGTCACAAGTTCTCTCAGAGCTGTTCTCTCAAGGGCAGCCCTCGAAAGCGCTCTCTCAGCCCCACCTACCTCACAGGGTGTCTGTTGGGAGGGGAAGGGAAAGGAGATTGTAGGACGCTCTGAGACTCCTTCACGTAGTGAAGGGTGGGACATAAATCCAATCTGTTCTCTTCTCTCTTCTTCTTCATACAAAATACAAAATAATATAAAAACCAGTGAGAGCAAACACACAATAGAAGTGAACATCGACTGTCCTGAATACCGAGTAAGTGAATACCTCACATGAAGAGGACAGGAGTTTACCTGTTGAAGAGCCTCAAAAAGATTGGATATATTTACGGAGGTCCACCAATTACTATTAGGATTGAGAACAAAGTGGAACCTCCATGTTAAGAGGCACTTTACCAGGGGTCCCCAACACCTCTCCTGGTGCCTGACAAGTGATTTTAGAAAGTGGACCGGGCTGGGTAAGCAGGGCGTCGGATTGGCTGTGCGGATTAAAAGGCATCCTGTTAAAAAGAGTCTCTGCCTGAAATATTACAGAGTTACGATTAGAGCTACACATAACCAATGTTCTCTCTAAGCTGAGGAGTCTTGTGAGCAAAAATTCTACTTTGTGAGCGACTGGCATGAAAGTTTTGAGCAAGTGATTTGGCTCCTGCATAAATTAGTTTGCTCTGGAGCCATCCTTTCTGAGCCAATACAGAAATATGTGTGAGCTGGAGGCTAGAAAACTGTGAGCTAGCTCACACTAACTCAGCTTAGAGGGAACACTGCACATAACCTTGCTCCCTGATGTTTTGTGGCTAGCTCTGCCTCCTAACTGCGGTGGCTCAAGTGGTTAAGACGCTGAACTGCAGGCTGTGGAAGGTCAGTAGTTCAGCAGTTCGAGACCCGGGTGCTGCATGATGGAGTGAGCTCCCGTCTCTAGTTCCAGCTCCTGCCAACCTAGCAGTTCGAAAGCAAGAAATTGCAAGTAGATAAATAGGGACCACTTCGGTGGGAAGGTAACAACGTTCCGTGCGCCTTGGTGTTTAGTCATGCCGGCCACATGACCACGGAAACGTCTGCGGACAGCGCTGGCTCTTCGGCTTTGAAACGGAGATGAGCGCCGCAACCCTAGAGTCGGATTCAACTGGTTTTCGAGCAAGGGATCCTTTACCTTTACCTTTACCTTTACCTGCCTCCTAAAGCAGCCATTTTGTGATTGTACCCACCACCCTTTTTGTCAGAATTCCAAAGGTGCCGGCAGTCTCACTATACCTCTGAATAGCAGTTGCTGGAGGGAAACCTCAGGGGAGAACTGTTGCCTCCCTTCTCCACGTGGGGCTTACCCAAATCTCCTGGCTGACCACTCTGGGGAACAGGACACGGGACTAGGTAGACCCTCAGTCTGGCCCTGGAGGACTCTTCTGATGTTGTTGTCTTGGCCACCGGAAGCCAACCTCATTCTCTCTCTTTCTCCGGTCCAGGGAAAGACAGATGCCTGCATGTTTATCCCATTACACCAGGCGAGGGATCTCTGAACGGGAATAATTTGGGTCCTTCTCAGCAGGGAGGTTCTGAGTTGCCGGTGCCAGCTGGGATACTCCCGGGACAGTCCGGGTGTCTTGAAAGCCGTGGCGGGCCTCAGCAGGAGCATGGGACAGAGCCGCCTCCGACTTGGGAGGAAATCACCCGCTGCAGCGAAGGGGTGTACGAGACCGTGGTCTGTTTGGAAGAGCACAAGCACTGGTGCCTCGAATGCGGCGAAAGCTTCCCGGACGCTTCGCGGCTCGTCGAGCACCAGAAGACGCACCCGCCTTCCAAGCGGCCGGAGTGCCCGAAATGCGGGAAGAGCTTCCGAGACCTTTCACACGTCATTCGGCACCAGACGGTCCACACGGGAGAGAAGCCGCACGGCTGTCTCGAGTGTGGGCAAAGCTTCACCCAGAGACCAGCTCTCTTGAGACACCAGCAGAAACATCAGGAAGGTGAGCCGTACCGGGGTAGGGGTCGAGCGGGGTGTCGTCAGAGAACATAAGAGAAGCCATGTTGGATCAAGCCAGTGGCCCATCCAGTCCAACAGTCTGTGTCACTCAGTGGCCAAAACCCAGGTGTTATCAGGAGGTCCACCAGTGGGGCCAGAGCTCCAGAAGCCCCTCCCACTGTTGCCCCCCAAGCACCAAAAATGCAGAGCAACACTGCCCCAGAAATAGTGTTCTATCTATACCTTGTGGCTAATAGCCACTGATGGACCTCTGCTCGGTATGTTCACCCAATCCCCTGTCGAAGCTGTGTATGCCAGTTTGGTGTGGTGAGGAGCACAGACTCCAATCTGGGAGAACCAGTTTGATCCCCCACTCCTCCACATGAAGCTATTGGTGTGACCTTGGGTCGGTCACAAGTTCTTTCAGAGCTGTTCTCTCAAGGGCAGTCCTCAAACGAGTTTTCTCAGCCCCACCTACCTCATAGGGTGTCAGTTGTGGGGAGGGGGAGGGGAAGGAGATTGTAAACCTCTCTGAAACTCCTTCGGGTAGTGAAGGGTGGGGTATAAATCCAATCTATTCTTCTTCTTCTTAGAAGAGGCACTCCTGCCTTTGTTAAAAGAAAGTTAAGAGGTCCTTTTTAAAAAAAATCCGGTTCTTGATGAATGGGTTGCAACTGAACCGATTCATCTCACCCGTTCAGTGTTGCAGTCCTAATTTGCTTCCCTTACCCGGGTGGGGTAGACACTCACCCGCTTTCACCTCTGTCCAAACAGGTTTTGAGAATGACACTCCACGCCAGAGGAGCCACGCCAATTGCAAACGCTCCCAGTGCCAGGAGTGTGGGAAGAGCTTCCGAGACTTATCTCACGTCCTCCGGCACCAGACGGTCCACACGGGCGAGAAACCGTACAGGTGCACGGAGTGCGGACAAGCCTTTACTCAAAAACCGGCCCTCAACAGGCATCGGCAAAAACATCTGGAATCCCAGCCCTATACAGGTACGAATGAGGTAGGATAGAAAAGGTGGTAGAATTCAGGGCTGTTTATTTAAGACAGAAATCCCCATCGCAGTGCCTATAGGCCCAATGGCACCCACCAGCTGTTTTGAGAAAGTGGGTGGGACCACGTGGGGCTCTTCCCCAGGAGGGCTTCTGATTGGCCACTGGAGCTCTGAGTGGTTGTACAGATGACAAGAATGTCTTTAACCAGTCACAGAACACCCTCTATGGTCCCATACATTCTTCTTCCATTTTTCCTTTTAGTATATTTGTCAATCTGTCCATTTCAGCACATTCCATAATCTTCGTTATCAACTCGTTAAGCGTTGGGATTTTCAATGTCCTCCATGTCGTTGCAAATAAGATTCTAGCTGCTGTTATAGCATGTAAAATAAAGTATCTATGGTTCTTATCGAAGTCATCTGGTAGACAATTTAACAGAAATATGTCTGGTTTAAAAGCTATTGTAATATTCAACACTGATTGTAAAAGAGCATGTTCTCCAATCCAGTATTTATGAACCTTTTTACATGTCCACCACATATGGTAGTATGATCCAACATGATTATTACATTTCCAGCATCTGTCACTCAAGTTTTTATACATTTTAGCTGATCTGTCTGGGGTTAGGTGCCATCTATAGAACATTTTATACAAATTTTCTTTAAATGAAACAGATTTAGTCAATTTGATATTCACATTCCATGTTTTACTCCATTGTGACAAGTCTATGTTATAACCTAGATTTTGCATCCATATGTCTGGTTTAAAAGCTATTGTAATATTCAACACTGATTGTAAAAGAGCATGTTCTCCAATCCAGTATTTATGAACCTTTTTACATGTCCACCACATATGGTAGTATGATCCAACATGATTATTACATTTCCAGCATCTGTCACTCAAGTTTTTATACATTTTAGCTGATCTGTCTGGGGTTAGGTGCCATCTATAGAACATTTTATACAAATTTTCTTTAAATGAAACAGATTTAGTCAATTTGATATTCACATTCCATGTTTTACTCCATTGTGACAAGTCTATGTTATAACCTAGATTTTGCATCCATTTAATCATACATTCTTTAACTATTTCATCCTGCATTTTCAATTGGCCCCACTGGTGGACCTCCTGATGGCACCTGGTATTTTTTGGCCACTGTGTGATACAGAGTGTTGGACTAGATGGGCCATTGGCCTGATCCAGCATTGGCTTCTCTTATGTTCCTATGTTCTTAATTGCATCAGTATACCATTTTTTTTTTAATAAGTTGGTCTTAAAGGTGCCACTGGATTCAAACTTTATTCTCCCCCTGGCAGTTTTGCTTCTGCTAATAACCCGTAATACACGGTGTGATTCCTGCTTTCCTCTCTTTCAGGAAGCAATGGGGAACTGTGTGGGTATCAAGAGAGCGCATGCTTCAACCCAGTGGGATCGGCACAGAGGCTGTCCGGAACGTCCCAAGAGAACGCCTCAAGTACTTTTACGAACAGGAGCAAAGGAGAGCATCCGCCTATGAAGAAATATCACAGGGACCTCACACCCAGGCCAGAAGGCAACAAACCCTTGAAAAAGAAGCTAAACCGCCGGGGACAAAAGAACCACTGGTGTATCCTGTGTGGGAAAGGCTTCCGGGACAAAGCAGACGTCGTTCGGCACCAGCGAGTCCACACGGGCGAAAAACCCTACGCGTGCCTGGACTGCGGGAGGCGGTTCAGTACCACCTCAACCTTATACAAGCATCAGATAATCCACAAGCGACCAGATCTGGAGGCAGCCGCTTAATCCGTGGATGAAACGACCTCGCAGGAGGTCCAGAAGGAAATGGACCAGGGGGCTGAGGGGCATGGGTCTCGAAAAAGGGTTGCGTGTGCGAATGGGGAGAAACATTAGGGAGCCAAGGGATAAACGGGGTTCTTGACGCTTGGACACAGCAATTCAAAATTCTTGTCTCCAGTTTAGTCCTCTGGAAATAACACGGATAAAGATTCTTAACTATTGAAAATAGATTATATAAATTTATTATTATTATTATTATATTATTATTATTACAGACAGTAGCACTGGATAGGGGAGACCTTCCCTTGATTCCCCCAACTACAAATTCCTTTCCCATCTTAAATAAACCCATTTCAGTCACAAATGGCAATTTGTGTATATGCGCCTGGGCGTGGACTGTAGTTTTGAGGGGAACGGTGAACTTTGTCCCTCATGAAAAAGATCCCGACAGACCGCTTCACTTTTCTTCCCCTTTGATGGAGCAGAAAGGCTGATTCACAGAGTCCAGGTTTGTAGCTGCGGCACTGTGTGGTAACTTGCAGGATAGTAACTTGGGAAGGGCGGCCTAGGCATCCATACATTAAAAGATGGTTAAAGTAATGTTTGCCCCGAGTTGGATGGCTAGCCCGACCTCATCACATCTTGGAAGCTTAAGCAGGGTCGGCCCCAGTTAGTACTTGGATGGGAGACCACCAAAGAAGTCCAGGGTTGCTACGCAGAGATTGGCAGTGACAAACCACCTCTTGTTTGTCTCTTGCCTTGAAACCCCCATGGAGTCACCAGAAGAAGAAGAAGAGTTGGATTTATACCCCGCCCTTCACGCAGAGTCTCAGAGCGGCTTACAATCCCCTTCCTCTCCCCACAACAGACGCCCTGTGAGCTAGGTGGGGCTGAGAGCTCTGAGAGAACTGCTCTGAGAAAACTGTGACTGACCCAAGGTCACCCAGCTGGCTTCATGTGGAGGAGTGGGAATCACACCTGGTTCTCCCAGATTAGAGTCCGCCGCTCTTAACCACGACACCAAACTGCTAGTCGACAGCACTGTCGACCACCACTGCTCTGGGTACTGGAGTCAGGAGGAAGGAGAAAACGTAAGGCTTCCTTATACAGAGTCAGACACGTGATCTGTTAAGCTAGCTACTGTCTGCTCTGATGGGTACCTGCTCTCCAGGGCCTTGAAAGTCTCTTGCTTCACCTGCTACTTGATCCTGTTTAACTGGAGATGCCGGGGACTGAACCTGGGAACTTCTGCATACTTAACAGGTGCTGTGCCCCTGAGCCACCACAACCCCTCTGTCTTCGACATGCGGTTTCTCTTACTGAATCCTCAGGGCAGATTCACATGTTGATATTTCCCTGTTGATCAAGTGACAGTCTGCCTGTATGAACAGGCCCTCGCAACTCCCGGACAAACTCCCAGTTCACCCGAAAGGTGAGCCAGTTTACCCAATCATGCCAGGAGTCACTCTGCATTCATGTCTGCACATGACTAAGAGACTTTGGCTCGCAGCAGCTTTCAGGCAGAGAGAGCTTTGTCCTAACTTGCACTTTCTAGCTGAAGACGCCAGTGACTGAAATAGACCTTTGATATCTGAGCCATAGCTTTGCCCATAATAGCAGCATGGTCTGTGTAAAAAAAAGAAAGCAAGTATTCTTCCTCCCCCAAGCAAAATGCCAGCACCTCCCCTTCCCCTTGTTTTCTTGATGAAAACGCACTCTTTGCATGCACAAGATATGGGTTATAGCAGGGGTCCCCAACATGGTGCCCATGGGCTCTATAGTACTCACTGACACTATTTCTGGTGCCCATCCAGAGTTTTTAGGATGTGGGTGGTCCCAGATAGGGCTTTTGCTCAGCAAGGCTTCTGTCTGACTACTAGAGATTTGATTGGCTACAGTTTTAAAATGTTGCTTTGGCAGCAGCTGCCACCCAACCTAGTCACAGGGGGCTTTTGGGGGGCGGTGACATCACCACATTGGTGGCACTCACACACAACCCACCAAAAATTTCCTCGTCACGAGGCTGCCACCACCACAGCCTGTGTTACTGAAGTTAAGCTGTGGCAGCCATTTTGTGGCTGGCTCAGTCTCCTGCGGCAGCCATTTTGTTGCTGCGCCCACCATGCTATGTCAGAATTCCAGTTGTGCCCGCAGGCTCAAAAAAGTTGGGGGACCCCAGGGTTACAGTACTGGACTAGCATCTGGCAGACCTGGGTTCACATGCATACTCTGCCGTGGAAGCTTGCTGGGTGACCATGGGCCAGTCCCATATTGCCCACCTATCCTACCTCAGAGGGTTGTCATGAGGATAAAATTGAGGAGAGAATGTAAGCTGCCTTGGGTCCCCAGTGGGGGGAAAGGCAGGGTATAAATGAAGAAAAATAATATTAGACTTCCTTTTGTTCTTCCGTCAGAAGTTCAACCCTTCTCCAGTCAGATGATGAGGGAAAGTACCCATCCCAAATTTCAACACTTGGACCACTTTTAAAGCTCAGATCATTTATTGAAGAAAATAATACCAAGAGCGTCAAAACACCATCGCGGCGATGGGCCACCAGACAAATGCCACATACAAACACTGGTCAAGCAGAAAAACATTTTACTTCATTACAATGCGCACATCCGATAGGTTCTTCTGGGCTTCCCACAAAGGGGCTGGGGGAGAAACAGACGGAACAACTTTTAATTTGCCTTTTTCTATGGGTGTGTTTCTGTGTGGGGGAAATCCATTCGCAGCTGGAATCAGAATGTGCACCGAATCAAACGCAGAATTAAGAGCAAGGCACGTCGCTAATCACATCTATTGAGGGGAAAAATCTAATGACAAATCGGAAACCACGAACACAGAGATCGGTGCATGGCTTTCCCTTCAGTAAAACAGACAGTGTGCCAGGAGCAGAGGTGGCCCGGCTGTGAGATAAGGGGAAGCAATCACCGCGGGCATTAAAAGCGGAGTGTTTTCGGGCGGGGGGGGGGAGGCAGAGCAAGTGACCAAAATGTTTAATATATGGGGCATGAATCAGAGGGAAAATCTTCTGTATAAGCCTCAATGAAAAGTAGGGGAACCAGTGGGGCTGGCACAGAGGGACTCATTGGCATGACAGAGCAGTGTCGTTTGATTGATCCACCTCGGACGACAACAAAAAACCTCGCTCCCAACTCTATGATTTCATGGTCTCCCCCCCCCCATCCCTGAAAATCTTCTGTATAAGCCTCAATGAAAAGTAGGGGAACCAGTGGGGCTGGTGCAGAGGGACGCTATCACCTGCTCATTGGCATGACAGAGCAGTGTCGTTTAATCGATCCACCTCAGACAACAAAAAACCTCGCTCCAACTCTGTGATTTTTTGGTCTCCCCCCTGCATCCCATATTGACAAAACTTGTACAGATTCTACACCCACCTGCGGGTGGCACACAAGGATACAGAACTTTAGATCAAAATGGGTTGCCCTGTTAGTCTGTCCGTGGCAGTGGAAAAGAGCAAGAGTCCAGTAGCCCCTTCAAGACTAACAAAAATTGTGGCAGGGGACGAGCTTTGGTGAGTCACTACTCACCTCTTCGGAAAGCTCCTACCCTGCCACAAATTTTGTTAGTCTTCAAGGTGCTACTGGACTCTTGCTCTTTTCTACTGCTGTAGAACTTTAGGTTTGTGGGCAAGGATCCAAAGCTATTCAAGATGGTTAGTTACGGGCCCGGTTTTGCCAAGGAACCAGCACTGGGGTAGTTCAGTGGTTAGGGTATCAGACAAGGACCTGGGAAACCCATGTTTGAATGCCCACCCTGCCCTGGGAAGCTTTGCTGGGTGACCTTGGGCCTGTCACAACCGCTCAGCTTAATTCACCTCATGGATTGTTGGGAGCATAAAATGGTGGGCAGGAGAATGTGGTCACCTGCTATGGATCCCCACTGAGAAAAAGGTATCAATGAAGTAGGTAAAACATCAATAGGCCCTCTTTTGTGAAAGAACTAGTCATTATGGCTGGATTTTGACATGGAAGGGAACTACAGAGCCAAACAGCAGCAAGGAACCAGTAACGACAGGCCCAGTCTGACAAGCAAAGAGGCGCTGCTATGGATCCCCACTGAGAAAAAGGTATCAGTGAAGTAGGTAAAACATCAATAGGGCCCTCTTTTGTGAAAGAACTAGTCTGGATTTTGACATGGGAGGGACTGGTAACTACAGAGCCAAACAGCAGCAAGGAACCAGTAACGACAGGCCCAGTCTGACAAGCAAGGAGGCGGTCACTTCGAAGAGAGCTGTGATCCCACCTCAGACTCAAAACAATCTTTCGACAATCACAGTGGAAGGTTTCATCTTTTTTGCTTCAGTAGGGGGGGGGGATTGCCATCGGGTTGAGACAGCCGACGCCCTCTTCCCTTGAACCGTCGTTCCTCAGAGGCAGAATGCTTTTCCCTCAGTTGAGCTCCCCGATTCGATTCGAGACCCCTTTCCACCAACCCACTGTGGGCTGATTCACGGGGCAAGGTCAGTGGGGTGTAGTGAATTCAGGGCAGCTGTAAAATCACACAAAAGAGCAGCAGCCCAATCTTACCACTGAACCAAGACCGTTAAGACAACCAGCCGTGGGCAGAACGGTTTTCGGCGCTCATGCTGAAGGGATACAAGTCCTTAGATCACCTTGAGTACAGGAAAACCCGTATGCAGCTCCATAAACCCACACAAACCAGTCTTGCTATCGGATTGGCTTTTACTAAGTGTACAAAGCAGGCAGATGCAGACAACCAGCTTTTGCTCAATGAGCAATTGTTTCTTTATGCTGACCTCCTGGAAAAAACAGACTCAGGTGGGCAACCGTGTTGGTATGAAGCAACGGAACGGTCCAGTGGCACCTTTAAGACAAACAAAATTTCGGGGACAAGCTTTTGTGTGCATGGACACTTCTTCAGAGTGCATGCACACAAAAGTTTCTGCCCAGAATTAAACTTCGTTGGTCTTAAAGGTGCCACTGGACTCAAACGTTGTTCTTTTGGAAGAATGTTGGTGGAGCAAACATGTGCTCAACTTGGCAGTGGTGTTCCCTCTAAGCCGAGTCAGTGTGAGCTAGCTCACAGCTTTTTAGCCTCCAGCTCACACGCTTTTGTCTTCACTCAGGAAGGATGGCTGCACAGCAAACTAATTTATGGAGTAACCAAATTGCTCGCTCACAACTTTAATGCCAGCCGCTCACAAAGTAGGATTTTTGCTCACAAGACTCCACAGCTTAGAGGGAGCATTGCTTGGCAGCAAACATTAGAGCTCAGGCCATCAGGAAATCATTTCCCACTTAAGCCACAATGCTGAACTTTTTGATTGTGGGAATGACACAGGTTAAAGGATGGGTTGTCTAGGTGATGTTTTTGGTAGCTTGCCCAAAGGATCAAGGCCTAATTTGATAAGCCCAGTTTTGATAAGGGCGAGGATCCCAAAGGACTCTTGAGTTGGTATTTCATCATCAGCCCCCCCATACCACACAGCAAAGTCCTTTAAAAACTGAGGGCTCTTTCAGCAATAGAGTAAAAGAGCCAGTTACCCTTCGGGTGCACCAGATGTCTCGGGCGTGTCCAAAGTAGCTCTTCCATTCTCGGCCAGATCTTTTTATGAACTGTGGAACATCTTTTTCCCCCACAGACCAACCAGTAGCCTAAACAAGTAATGCTGGAGACTAGAAACCAGAAGAAAAGAATCTTTGAGCATTCTTCTTGTACCCTGAGCAACAATTTTGGCAATCATCCAGTATCGGAAGTGGAACAGCATGAGGTTGGCTGGAGATTTTTTTATGGCTTGCCTAAAGTACAGTGGCATCGGAGACTATTGCTTCTCACCTGGAACCATTCTGCCAACCTGGGTGAACTCAGTTTGTGGTACAGGACAAAAGACAGTCAGTGTGGTGTATTGGATAGAGCGGCAGGCTAGGACCCTGGGTTCAAATGCCCACTTTTACCATGGAAGCTCAGTGTAAACCTTGGGCTCGTCAAACTCTCAGCCTGGCCTACCTCCCAGGGTTCTTGCTGTGAGAGCACGGAAGGGGGAGAATGATGTCCTAAGCTACTTTCAGTCCCAGCTGGTGGAAAACAGTCAGATTATCTCACAAGACTCTACAAAAAAATGGAGTGTGTGTGTGTGTGCAATTGCAATACTGCACGAACTGCAACAGGGCCTGAAAACAGATCGAGATGGGTAGCTGTGTTTGCCAAACTCTCAGCCTGGCCTACCTCCCAGGGCTCTTGCTGTGAGAGCACGGAAGGGGGAAAATGATGTCCTAAGCTACTTTCAGTCCCTGCTGGTGGAAAACAGATTATCTCACAAAACTCTACAAAAAATTGGTGTGTGTGTGCAATTGCAATACTGCACAAACTGCAACACGGCATGAAAACAGATTGAGCTGGGTAGCTGTGTTTGTCTGCAGAAGAAGAAAAGAGCAAGAGTCCAGGAGCACCTTAAAGACTAACAAAGTTTGTGGCAGGGGAGGAACTTTCACTAATCACTGCTAACTTCTTCAGAGACATTCCAGCTGAATCTGGCCGCGGTCACACACACTAAACAATCCACTTTCCAACTGGATTTTACCGTGTGAACTGGCAAAATCCAGTTGGAAAGTGCACTGAAATAGATTATTTAGTGTGTGTGTGTGTGTGTGACCGCAGCGTCTGGGGAAGGGAGCCGTGACTCATGAAAGCACCTCCCCCTGCCACAAACTGTGTTAAAGGTGCTCCTGCACTCTTGCTCTTTTCTAGGGCATGAAAAGCTGTGCTCAAGTTGTGGATGTCACATGGGTGGATCGGCCATTTAACGGACATGGAAATCTCTCCCCCACCCCCTTGGGCTACCGCCATAGAGGGCCATTGGTGGCAAGTGGAGCTAAGCCTCAGCAACTCTGTCCGAGACTCAGGGGCCGCATGGCTCAGACCCCTCATCCATCACACAGGGCAGTTTGTGTCAGCTCACCCACTGTCTCCTCCTGCACTGCTTCTGGTTTGGAGGGGATGATGCAGCATGTGAGCTAAAGCCCATGGTTGACCCCACTAAGGTGAGCCAGCCCTACACAGTGCTAGCTTGCAGCTCCACAGGGGCAGCTCAGGTTGACTTGCTTCGTGGCCATTCTCACTATCCCGGTCCAGTCCTGCACTGCCGAAACTCTCAAGGCACACACACAAACCTTTTCACAAGGGACTGGTGCAATTTTGTGGCTGCAGCGCAGGGGCATTCTGTAAAAACTGATTTTCTCTACTTGGTGACTGGAGGAAGAACAGTTATCATTGACTGAGTGCATCCCCCACACTTCCTAAGGAAACAGCTAACGTGGAGACAGGTGTGTAAACACAGTGCACCATTGTGTAGGGTGCATCCAATTTCCTCTGAAAATATATACATCAACAGCTACGGGGCACATGGGGAGGACGTGCCCCCCCCCTCTAGCAAATGTACCGGCCGATATGCTTCAGAATACAACCCTCACTGCTCTTTGGGTTCATTCCTAGGTCTCAGCCCCTTCCTTTCATATGCACATCTCCTTGCAAAGTACCCAGCACCCACATGCGGCTCCTCTGGATATCTGCTCAGCCAACGCTTAGAAAAAAGCCTGAGCCGTGCTGGCATCCAGGGCTATGTTGAACCTTCGGTTTTGGAGCTTCCTTCTAGTTTTGCAGCGAAGCCCGACAGGGTCAGAGGCAAGCCTCGATTCAAGAGGGTCTTTACAACCAGGCAACCCAGAGGACCAGCAGCTTATGGGAGGGGCCGTGGCTCAGTGGTGAAACATCCACTTGGCATTCAGAAGCCTGCAAAGTTCAGTCACGCCCAGCATCTCCAAGTGAAAGGACCCGGCAGGAGCGGATGGGAAAGATCTGAGCCTGAAACCCCAGGGAACCACTGCCAGTGTAACAACACTGACCTCAATAGACCAAAGATCTGACTATAAGGCAGTCTCATGTTGTGATAGTGGTGGTATCAGCTACATGTGGCCAGGGTCCCAGTTGCTGCACTGAGGAAGTCCAAGGAGAGGGATGGGTGGGAAATCTTACCATTTCCTGCTGTTCCCAATGTTCAGACGTTAATATGACCAAAAAAACCCCACCGCCACAAGAAAAGGGATACTATGTAGGTAGGAAGTCAATCTGTGTTTTCTGCAATCCTAAAGGGAAGCTTATTACAACCGGCTACAGTTTTCTCAGTCTCTGATACTGGATCCTAGGGCTACGCACACAACAGCCACCTATTCCCCTCTATCAACTTTAGGCTTAAGAGAATAGTTTTGGGGACACAGGAACCCAAAGCGAGCAATCATTCCAGACAGTGGGACCCTTCTTCTGCAACAAGTTTGAGTCAAAAGCTACAGCTTCTAATTTATTTTGATTTCTTTGTCAAAACGAGCCTCTGATCTATCAGATTCCTGCATTCCCTCTCCAAACTGCCAATCAGTTCTGAAAGTGCCGAGGCCACCCATGCTTGAAGACGCAGCCACAGAAGAACGGGGGGGCAATGACATCAGCAGAAGAGGAGACGGTGTCAGCCATGGAATCGGCACCAGGTATGGAAACAGAGGGTAGCAGTGGTGAAAACGACCAAATGGCTTCAAGTGGAACATCCCAGAATTTCAGTTAACAAATCATTTCCTTGGAAAACGTCTTTTCCATTCACGACGTTCTATGATGACCGAAATTTCGTTACAGCACCGGTTACAGCTTAAAGACACAGAAGCCCTCTAGAAAGTTTATTCCCACGTCTGAAAATTGGCATAAATAATGTGTCAGAATGGAAAGAGAGGTCTGGTTCATATGTCCAACCGGCAGTGGGTTGCCCATGTTAAAATCTTTGGATGTCATGTTCACAACTATTCAGGCGGTCACAAGAGAGAATTGTGAGATGGCTTTGTATCTTCTGGTCCGAGCAGGAGCAACAGCCCTAATGCCACACTGATTCAGACAAGAACAATGACAAGATTTTCTCGTCCATGTGGATTACCGAACAGGTGAAGTTTGAGATGGAGCAGAATATTTGCCAGTCAATTAAAAGTGAAAGGCATTGTCTTTCTGCTCCGCTTCTGAAAGTCTGGAGGAAGCTGTCCATTATCTTATTACAGCGGGTACATACAGAGAAACTGATACTTAACAAAGTCCCCCAATGAAGCAGTGTGCAAAACACAGAGGGCTCTATAACGAAAAATAAACTATATTTTCCCGCGGCACCTGTTTTTCCTTCTCTTCCAGGACTCTGCGATCCAATTCTTAAACTTCATTCTGGTATCTTTTTTTTAATATTTGGGAAAGGGCCCAAGTTATGGCAAAGATCTTTTAATGCCTCTCAGATACGGAATGAGATACATTTTGCCAGATTCATAAGAGGTGTGTTTTGTTTTTTTTTAATCATTCATAACATTTCAAACCCTGCATGAGATTTCTGGTGATTAAAGAGTTTATCTTGCCGCACAAAGGTTTTCTGACACACAGCGCATTCATATGGCTTTACCTCTGTGTGGGTCCTCTGGTGCCTTACCAGCTTTTCTTTCTGGAAGAAACTTTTCCCACACTCTGGGCACTCAAAGGGCTTTTCCCCTGTGTGGATTCTTTGATGCCGGATCAGCTGGGCGCTCTGGCAGAAGTTTTTCCCACACTCCAAGCACCCGTAGGGCTTCTCTCCCGTGTGCATGCGGAGCTGGATGTCGAGGTATGATTGCCTGCTGTCCGCACTGGAGGCATTCGAAAGGTTTCTCCCCCGTGTGCATTCGCTGGTGCCTGATCAGTTGCCCCCTCTGGCAGAATCCCTTCCCGCACTGAGGGCAGGCATAGGGTTTCTCTCCTGTGTGGATCCTCTGGTGCCGGATCAACTGGCCGCTCTGACAAAAGCTTTTCCCGCACTCGAGGCATTCATAGGGCTTCTCTCCCGTGTGGATTCTCTGGTGGGTGACGAGGGACGACTTATTGCTGAAGCTTTTCGCACAATGGAGGCATTTGTAGGGCTTCTCGCCCGTGTGGATCCTCTGGTGGGTGATGAGATGGGACCTGGTGCTGAAGTGTTTCCCGCACTGGAGGCACTCGTAGGGCCTCTCCCCCAGATGGATTTTCTGGTGCGCGAGCAGATTCTCCCTCTGGCAGAAGCTCTTCCCGCACTCGAGACACTCGTAGGGCCTCTCCGCCGTGTGGATCATTTGATGGACAATAAGTCCCGACTGGTGTTCGAATGTCTGCCCGCACTTGCGGCACATGTGGCTCTCCTCCCCTGCGGAAATGACACCCAGGTGATCTGCCGTGACATCCTCCACTTTCTGGATGGAGATGCCCCACATATTTACGGCCTGGTGCCACGGCTGCCTGTCTGACTCGGGGCCCTGATCGCAAGGCTCCGACTTCACGGGAACATCCCCGAGGGATTCTCCTGGGAAGGTCCTCAGCGATCCCGCGGACTCGGAGCCATCCTGAGGAGTTGCCCCGTCCTCATTCTCGCTGGCTGTGCCATCACCTTGTTGGGACGAGAAGGAGAAACAGACAGGGGTCATAAGAACATAAGAACAGAAGAGACGCCAATGTTGGATCAGGCCAAAGGCCCATCCAGCCCAACACTCTGTGTCACACAGTGGCCAGAAATACCAGTGCCATCAGGAGGTCCACCAGTGGGGCCAGGACATTAGAAGCCCTCCCACTGTTGACCCCCCTAAGCACCAAGTCATGTCGCATGATGGAGAGAAAGAAGGGAAACAGCAGAAATTATCACTGAGACATCAGAAGGCCTTCTCTCCTTTTGATCTCCCTGTGGTTTTTTTTTTTTTTTTGGCAGGCAGGTGCATCCCGGGAGGGAAAATACGGGCCTTGGAAAAAAGGCCTTGCCCCCTGGCCTGCTCTAGTCCCATCCTCCCAGGGGGAGAAAGGAGAAAGGGCCGCTCCTTAGCTACCTAGCCAGCCCCGTACAGCTCCAGTATTGGGATTCAGGAACATTGGGAAACACTGGCTGCGGTCACACGCAACATTAGCCACGCAAGAGATACGGAAGACAAGCGGAGTTTCCGGTCGCGATCTCACCAGCACATCTGGGAAGCGTAGCGCTTCCGTGGCACAACTGAGGCTTCCTGCCGAAAAAGCGCAGCAAAAAACTAGTACCTTGGAGGTACTAGTTTCCAGAAACTGCGGGGCAAGGGCGGGCGTCTGATCGCGTTTCCGGTGGCATCCGGTGCCCGCCCATGTCCCCTTGCGGAAAAGGGGTTTTTTTCCCCCAAGTCTCCGTGGATGCGCACACGCACCCAACGGAGCATGCGCATTCGTAGTGTACACAAAAAAAGAAAACCAGTTCGCCGCACCGTGCGCTTCTTCATTGCGCGCAGGCGTGTGTTGTGATCGGCACCTCTCCCTACCCACGGAAGCTCCACAGTACCTCCACAGAACCTCCACAGTAGGTCTGATCGCTTTACTGCATGTTAGTTTGCCCCGGGGCAAACAGCCACACTTCTCTTCTGCAGTTTCCTGCCCGTGTGGCAGGGGCCACTGATATTTTTCAGGTTCAATATACCCAAAGCTGAAAAATACTGGGGTTGGGGGTTTTTTTGCACACCCTTGCTAAAGGGAGCTTCCATATACATAGACAGCCAACCTCTGAATCCCAGCACCAAGACGCAACATCACAGAAACACGGAGCTGGAAGGGTGTTCTCCCTTTCTCACAATACAAGAACTCGTGGGCACTCCATGAAATTGCTGAGCGGTCGGGTTAGAATGGATAAAAGGAAGTCCTTCTTCACCCAAAGAGTGATTAACACATGGAATTCACTGCCACAGGAAGTGGTGGCGGCTACAAGCATGGACGGCTTCAAGAGGGAATTAGATAAGCATATGGAGCAGAGGTCCATCAGTGGCTATTAGCCACAAGGTATAGATAGGGGCTCTGGGGCAAGTGATGCTCTGTCTTCTTGGTGCTTGGGGGGGGGGGGTTCAACAGTGGGAGGGCTTCTAATGTCCTGGCCCCACTGGTGGACCTCCTGATGGCATCTGGTATTTCTGGCCACTGTGTGATACAGAGTGTGGGACTGGATGGGCCTTTGGCCTGATCCAACATTGGCGTCTCTTATGTTCTTAAGGGCCCCCCAAGGGCCATCTAGTCCAACCCCCTGCACAGTGGAGGAAATTCACAGCTACCTCCCCTTGCCCAGTTCCCCAGTGACCCTTGCACGATGCCCAGAGGAAGGCAAAAGACCTCCAGAGGAAGGTTTGGGCTTTTATGCCCTGTTGCTGGCCCTCCAGAGGAACTGCTCAGCTGCTGTGCTGAGACAGGATGCTGGACCGGATGGACCACTGATCTGATCCAGCAGGGCCTCTTCTTAAAGCAGGGGCTTTACCACTGTGGCCCCTCTCCGGAATGGGCCACTCACTCTCACAGTGCTGCAGAGCTGGCAAGTAAACCTCCTCTTGAAACCTTCCTGGGAAAATCTCCAGCGATTCTTCTGCCCATGTGATTTCTGGCCACAGATCCTCCTCCTTGATCTCACTCACAGTCACATCATCTGTCAAGAGATAGAGGGGAGAAAACAGGAAAACTTAAAGGTCTCTCTCTCATGAGTCCATGACTGCGTCATTAAATTGTACCATCAGAGACAGTGATTTTTTTTTCTTGATTTCCCCCCCCCCTCCATGCAGTTTTATTCAAGGAATCCACTTGTGTGATAAAAACACTGCATCAAAAGTAAGGAAGAATGAATGAAAGAAAGGGGGAAAGGTCGGGAGGTTGTGGAAGGTCAGAGCTGAGAGCCATCCAGGGTGATCGTCCTTGAGACAGCTTCTTCCCACGACTGCCGGTGTTGGGCGCTGGGCTGCACAGCACCTTGTCCAGGGTGAAAATGACTCCTGCCGAGTAAAGCCCGACCCCTAGGGGCAGAGAGCAGGCCGTGGCTGTGACGCAGCCCCTTGCCGTAAAGGGGGAGAGGTGACCGGCTATGTTCAATGTCGAAGAAAAAGAAGAAGGAGGAGGAGGAGGAGATTGGATTTATACCCCGCCCTTCACAACCCAAAGGTGCCTCAGAGCGGCTTACAATCTCCTCTCCCTTCCCCTCCCCACAACAGACACCCTGTGAGGTAGGTGGGGCTGAGAGAGCTCTGACAGAAACTGCTCTTTTTTCAAGGACAGCTCTTATCAGAGCTACGGCTTGCCCAAGGTCATCCAGCCAGGGGCAAGTGGAGGAGTGGGGAATCAAACCCGGTTCTCCCAGATTAGAGTCCGCGCACTCAACCACTACACCAAACCCTGACACAGAGACACAGTGATTGTCCACTCCCGTGCAGGCCAGAGTCTCATTCCCCTTGCAGTGGTTCGACTCAAAGGCAAAACAGACGGGACAACGGAGGCTGTTGGGGTTGCGATGCAACGGTGGCAAGTTTAGGGCACACCGTCTGCAGAGGTCACCTTGGCAGCATCTGGAAATGCTCTGAATTTGGACTCCGGCCCCGGTGCTGATGCTGATGGAGCCGGCATAGCAATCGGCGGCAGCGATGCAGGTCTCGAGGGCTTCGGTGGTGTCGCCTCCCCCCAAAGAGTTCTCCCCGATTAGCGTGAGGCAGGTGTCTTCATTTGGGCTGCAGGGATGGGCCAAGCCATTGCAGCCTTCACCAGGGCTGATGCACAGGTCAAGCAGAATCCTCTGGCCAGGACCATGGCTAGGAGGAGGCCGAGGCTGGCCAGGGTTCTCTCCATGGTGGCTGGAGACAAGATCACGGCAGAGAGCCCTTGCCTCCGAAGCAACAAACTGGACAGGGATATATAAGCCGGAGCAGTTACATAAGGGTGGGTGAGTAAACAGGAGTTTGGCGTGGGGTTTGTGGCTTCAGATGAGAGGCACTTAAACTCCTGGACGGCCCTCGTGCTTCCTTGACGGGCAAGTCCCTTTGTCTATTGATCGCCTCAAGGAGTCCCTTTGTGCGACCGGCCAGGTCTCTCCCAGGGGCAAGCGAGCGCCATCAGAGACTGTGATACCAGGCGCTAAATGCAAGGAAAAAACCAAACTCTGAGTTTCCTTTCTTTGAAAAGCAACAGAGATGCTTCTAGTCCTCATGGCTGCAGAAGCAAGGCTGAGAAAAAATTGAGGGGGGAAGAGAAACAGGTATATAGAGAGCCTTACAACAGCAGCAAGGCCATGTTGCATTAACTGCTGGAACATCTCAGGGAAAATGAGCTCCCTGGCCTTTTCCATGCATGGTGAGAAGAAACACTTTCCTTGGTAGATTTTCCTAGCCAATCAGACATCACTTAGCTGTGATGTCATTCATGATGCTACATAAGCAAATTAAGCCAATTCAGAGCAAGGACATAGCTTCCTTGGGTCAGTCACATGGGTGATCCTAACCAATCAGAGATCACAGAACAACACTGGATGATGCCGTAATACTACATAGCCAATCAGATTGGACTTTGTACCGATGCCACTGGGAATAAACAATGTTGATTAAGCAAAGACAATACTTGGTGAACAGACAAACCCTTTTGAAAGCATTTGAAATAAACCGCTGAAAAATTGCCAAAACAGTGTGCATACACATGGGCATGTTGACAGATAAAACAGTTGTGGAAAAGCTCTCCTCAAATCGGGATAGCTCGATTTACCATGGGCATGAACCAAAAACCCACCAGCCCTCAGAGAAGATTCCAGATTTCTCAGACATGAATCAACCCACCTGCAAAACTTTCCATTTCCTTGGAATCACAGATGAACGTATCTTCTCCTCCTTCCAGCCAAGAGATGAGATCCGGCTTGGGAATCCATAATCCTTTATAGGAGGAAAGGGAAAACAAGGAGATAATCCTCTGGCACTTTCAAATACAAAAAGCGAGGTCCGACCACATGGGTTCACCTTGAGTCCTACCAAACAGATGTACGCTGGGAGTTTATTGTTCAGTACTTGATTTCAAGGCATGCAGGAACCCAATCCAGGGGCCTGGAAAACAGTGAGGAGGAGAGGCTTAAACCCCCTCTCCCTATGTGACACAGTGAAGATCCAAATGAGACCCACTTACACCTGAGAATCAAGTCCCAAGCATGGGATTTTAAATACATGTCTGATCCACAGGATTCTGGGCAGACCGGTAAACAATACTGAGTGACACCCTGTAAAAAGGTAAAGGTTCCCTTGCTCGAAAGCCAGTCGAGTCTGACTCTAGGGTTGCGGTGCTCATCTCCGTTTCAAAGCCGAAGAGCCAGCACTGTCCGAAGACGTTTCCGTGGTCATGTGGCCGGCAT